GAAGAAGAAACATTCAGTGCATCATGGGAAGCCACCACTAGCCTAGCTGCATTGTACCAGATTCAGCGAGGGTGTAGGGTCACCTGATCCAGCCAAAAGTTTTGAGAATGACACAAATATTAGTTTTCACAGAGTTTGCTGCTAAACTGCTTTTAGATCTTTGTTTCAGTTGTTTCTGTGATGTACTGAAATATAATTACAAGCACTTGATATATTTCAAAGGCTTTTATCGACAATTACATGACATTTACGCAAAGAGTCAGTATTTGCAGTGTTGGCCCTTCTTTTTCAGGACCTCTGTATTTGACTGGGCAACCTCTCAATTAACTTCTGGGCCAAATCCTAACTGATCGCAACCCATTCTTTCATAATCACATCTTGGAGTTTGTCAGAATTAGTGGGTTTTTGCTTGTCCACCTGCCTCTTGAGGATTGACCACAAGTTCTCAATGGGATTAAGATCTGGGAAGTTTCCAGGACATGGACCAAAAATTTCAACGTTTTGGTTTTGGTCCCCGAGCCACTTAGTTATCACCTTTGCCTCATGGCACGGTGCTCCATCGTGCTGGAAAATGCATTGTTCTTCACCAAACTGTTGTTGGATTGTTGAAAGAAGTTGTTGTTGGAGGGTGCTTTGGTACCATTCTTTATTCATGGATGTTTTTTGGGGCAAAATTGTGAGTGAGCCCACTTCCTTGGATGAGAAGCAACCCCACACATGAAAGGTCTCAGGATGCTTTACTGTTGGCATGACACAGGACTGATGGTAGCGCTCACCTTTTCTTCTCTGGACAGTCCTTTTTCCAGATGCCCCAAACAATCGTAAAGAGGCTTCATTGGAGACTATGACTTTGCCCCAGTCCTCAGCAGTCCATTCAACATACTTTCTGCAGAAGATCAATCTGTCCCTGATGTTTTTTTGGGAGAGAAGTGGCTTCTTTGCTGCCCTTCTTGACAAGAGGCCATCTTCCAAAAGTCTTCGCCTCACTGTGCATGCAGATGCGCTCACACCTGCCTGCTGCCATTCCTGAGACAGCTCTGCACCGGTGGCACTCCGATCCCGCAGCTGAATCCTCTTTAGGAGATGATCCTGGCACTTGCTTGACTTTCTTGGACACCCTGAAGCCTTCTTAACAAGAATTGAACCTCTTTCCTTGAACTTCTTGATGAGCCTATAAATTGTTGATTTAGGTGCAATCTTAGTAGCCACTAGTGATGGCCAAATGAAGCTTTCTGAAGCACTGAAGCTTGTATTGAAAAACGGTTCATTACTCAAAGCTTTTCAACACAGTCCTCTCTGGTGACATCTGGTGGCCAAAAATATGAAGAGCAGCTTGAATCCCCAAAATAAAACCAACTGCTTCATTATGATTGCTCACGCTACAGCAGGGGCAATTCTAGGATCAGAGATATGGGGGTGCTGAGCACTCAGAGAGCTGCCCAGCCAGGCAAGATAAACTTTACTCATCATGATGAGACTTCTTCCCTGTCTATTCCTCGCTGGCTTCAAATCTCTCAGTGGAATGATCAGTGGTTCGCTATCTGTCACCATCAAAACACCACAAATCCCACGAATGATTCATTTCCTTATAAACCATTGAATCAGACGCCGAAGCAGTTAGGCTCTAAATGAAGCTTCGGACGTCACTGATCACGTGACTCTGGCCAAACGAATCAAGCTTCAACACAGTGCTTCTGAAGCAGTGTGTTAATTTTTTTGACACACGCACCGTAGCGTCAGCTTCAAGCGGGCCATCACTAGTAGCCACAATATCCTTGCGTGTGAAGCCATTTTTATGCAACGCAACGATGGCTGCACGCTTTTCTTTGCAGGTCACCATGTTTAACAATGGAAGAACAATGATTTCAAGCATCACCCTCCTTTTAACATATCAAGTCTGCCATTCTAACCCAATCAGTCTGACATAATGATCTCCAGCCTTGTGCTCCTCAACATTCTCACCTGAGTTAACAAGACGATTACTGGAATGATCTCAGCAGGTCCTTGAATGACAGCAATGAAATGCAATGGAAAGGTATTTTTGGGATTAAGTTAATTTTCATGGCAAAGAAGGACTATGCAGTTCATCTGATCACTCTTCATAACATTCTGGAGTATATGCAAATTGCTATTATCAAAACTTAAGCAGCAACTTTTTCAATTCAGAATCAGAAAGGGTTTTATTGCCAAATGTTGAGCAGGTTTACAACATTAGGAAATTGCTGCGGTGCTTCAGTGCAAATTTCCAATATTTATGTGATTCTCAAAACTTTTGGCCACGACTGTAGAGCATATAGTTAGCGTTTGATCAGGAGACCCTGCATCATCTCTTAGTTTATAGAAGAAGGGAGATTAGGGAAGTAGAGAAAGCTTGGCAAAACAGACAATCAAGACACTCATAGGGGAAGTTAAACTCAAAGCAACGCACAAGAGATACTATCACCCATCTATCTAACTATCATAGTAAAACAGGAAATAATAGAGAAAAGACACACACTTAACAAGGTAAAAGAAGAACACTGGGGAGGCAGGAATAACAAAGTGAAGACAAAACTGAAACTCACCATAATAATGAGAAAATAGACTCTACCATAGTAAAGTGATAAAGGTTTCAAACAAGAATCTAAGAATGCAATAAAAAAACCAAAACCAAAATCGAAGCCTTAACCCTTTAAAGCCAGTCGGAGCGGGCACGCTGCGTTTTGCTTAACTATTTTTAAATCCCGGTAGCACTGCAACCATGTAAGCTAGCAATAATTTTTTTGTATATGAAACCGGAGAAATTTTACTTATATCTTATGCCATCAGTTTGTCCTAGGTAACGGTTTCCTTCCACATATAGCTTTGAAAAAACTACATAAAAAGCACTTGCAGCAACAAAAACATAATATTACAGAAACAAGCTTTGCTGATCTGATCGGCTGTTCGTAACACTTCCTATGTCCATCAGCGCGAACTATCGCATATCCGCCATGACCTGGCCGAAACCGGAAGTGATGTCATTTTGCGGAAATGTAGTTTTTTTTTTTTTTACCATCAGGGCCTCATGAGCCTATACTGGTGTTTTTAAAAGTTATGTTTGACTTTATGACTTTCTGTGTCGTTTCTGGGATGCTTAGAAGTCAAATTCCACTGCTGGAAATAGTTTATTTTGATGCATATACTATTTTCTTTTTGCAAATTTGCATTTTAATATTTATTTTCGTTTTTCCTGCAGTATGTAAAAATTGGTGAATTTCAAAAATAAAACTATGAAGACACTCAAAATAAATTTCCTGTGGTGGGAAACTATTTTGTGCAACTTTTTTGTATTTACAGTTTTGAGGGATAAGCCTCTTAAAATTCTCTAACTAGAAATATATGTTAAAAAAACCAAAACGATTTTCAATTTTTTTGTAGTTTATTGCACTTTTTTGCAATTTATGTAATTACTATGCACTTAATGCATACATATTATTAAAATTTGGGCTATAATGGTTGTTTTGGTGTACAGCAACTTGAAATGCTCCCAAAAATGGCACTACAGTATGTAAAAAATATAATATAATATATAACACTGTGTCGGTTTGAAAGGTACTGTCTTAAAGTTTTTCTAGTCCTACCTGGATAACAGGAGTTTTTCTGTTCACCTCGGTGAACTGTCATCTCCCAGAGCTCCTTTAACTTGTGGTGTACCTCAGGGGTCCATTCTAGGCCCCCTGCTGTTTACTCTGTATTTGCTCCCTCTGGGCGATGTGCTGCGCAAACATAATGTGTCCTTCCACACCTTTGCTGATGACATTCAGATCTACCTCCCTCTGAGGTTAGACTGTAAGGACTCTCTGCAGCCGTTATTCTTCTGTCTGTCTGACATTAAGACTTGGATGGCTCTTAAGTTCCTACATCAAAATGAAAGTAAAACTGAAGTCATTGTGTTTGGGCTTCCTAAAGACCCCAACCTTTCCTTCAATTTTATGGGACCCCTAACTTCCAAATGTACTTCCTCCATTAAGAGCCTCGGTGTTACTTTTGACAGTGCTTTTAAATTTGATAAACAAATCAGCTCCGTAGTCAAGGGATCTTTTTATCATCTACGGATTTTAGCTAAAGTCAAGTCCTACCTGTGCAGGAACAATCTAGAAAGGGTGGTCCATGCTTTTATTACATCACGGCTGGACTACTGTAACTCCCTTTATGCTGGTTTAGATCGTTCCTGTCTGCATCGCCTCCAACTGGTGCAGAACGCTGCTGCTCACATGCTGACTGGTTCCAAAAAGAGAGACCACATCACTCCGGTCCTCTGCTCTTTCCACCGGCTCCCAGTTGCTTTTAGGATTGATTTTAAAATTTTACTGCTGGTTTTTAAGGTTCTTAACGGTACTGCACCTCCTTACCTGGCAGAGCTTCTTAGCATTTATCGCCCCAGGAGATCTTTGAGGTCAGCAGACCTGATGCTTTTAGATGTTCCCAGGTACAGATTAAAGACTAGGGGAGAGAGGGCTTTTGCTGTGGCTGCACCCAGACTGTGGAACAGTTTACCTCCTCACATCAGATTCTCCACAAGCCTAGGAACCTTTAAAACTGCTCTTAAAACTCACCTCTTCTCATTGGCTTTTAGCAAGGTTTAACTTACTGTTTTAACTTATTGTTTTATCAGTGAGGTGTTTTATGTACTTGTGTTTTATTGTATTTTATATTTGGATTTTATTGTACAGCACTTTGGTCAGCCTTGGTTGTTGTTAAATGTGCTTTATAAATAAACTTGACTTGACTGACTTGACTAAAAGCTCTGGCAGTCGTGGTTCGATGGTAGGTCTTAAAGGGTTAAACACTGAGTAGCAGGTAAAAGCTAAAGAGAATCTCAGACATTATATTAACTAACAGGTCAAACAGAAACATAAGAACCATAAGACTGGGGAACAGGTACTCCTACAAAGTTTAAAATCAATTGCCCCTAAAGTTCGGATCACTTTTTACTGTAGTTTAATTTATTTATGCCTTTTCAATTATTATTTACTTACCTCCCATTTCCCATTGTCTGCTTCAGGCATAAACATCTGATCAAAAAGATGAGAAAAGGGCCCGTGCCCTTTATATGAAAAAATAAATATATAAATTATTTGAACAATAGGGTGATTTGTGATAACTTATTATTAGTCATTGCACACTGACTAGTATAGACAGGTACTTGTATAGATGGGAATGCAGTGCAGTGAACAGCTTCTAGTTAAAAGGAAATATTGTATAACACTGAAACGTAGATAGCATTTATTTTATTAAGATGAGAAACATCTGTTGTATAGTGTATATCATATTTTATCCTATTAAATGTTCATCCTGTTTAGACTTTATTCCTAGTCACATCAGTGGTCAAGGTCAACATAATACTTGACATGGGGATAGTTTCATTTTAGTTTCATGTTTAATCACACCTTATGATGACCATCTGCAACATAATACTTGTGATACATAAAATATTTGTATTACTTACCTAGGTCATGACAAAGACCGGCAATCTGCACACAGAGGACATCTTGTTCACTGATGAGTGATTCATTCAACTCATCTAACCTCTCCTTCAACTTCTCCAACTCCTCAGACGTCAACTTCTCCAACTCCTCAGACGTCAACTTCTCCAACTCCTTCAACCCCTTCAACTCCTCCAGTGCCTTGATCTGCTCCAACTTCTTCAACTCCTCCAGTGCCTTGATCTGCTCCAACTGCTTTACCTTCAGAGCTTTTGCAAGCTCACCTGCTAAATGTGCCACCCTTTAAAGAATAAAGGTAGAACACACACACATACACATACTCTTTAGTGCATTGGATTAATTGTTTTCAGTTGGTACATTGCTACACTGCTAAAAATAGTAAAAAAAAAAAAAAAAAAGTAATACTTTGAAAACACATCAGATCTAAAGTATATCAAAAAAATCTCCTTTGGGCTATATAAAATATTATCAGTCAATCAATCAATCAATAAACCAGTCTGTCCCTTGTTTTGGAATTTTGTTACATGTGTGCAAACCCATGGACATACCCAATTGAGTGTTCAAAGCGGTTGTGGGATGCTCCTGGATAAACAAAATACACCCCACCAAGTTGCTTGATGTTTCGTAGTCTCTGGAACTCAGGGGTGTTTATAATTTTGACAAGAACTGGGTGTAACTCAATGTGGCCATGGATGGGATCATTAAACACCTTTGTGAAGAAAAAGAACAAGACGACAATCAAAAGAAGACTAAAAAGAATTAAACGATTTCCAGCTCTTACCCAAGAACAGGTAGCAGGTCTCAGTCCTTTTATATATAACTTAATGTTTTTCAAACAGTGGTATGTAAGCATTGAGGCTGATGCTAGGCTAAGGATCTTCTAGTATCATGCCTTTTACTGTGGCAATGGCAACTTGTTTAAATAAAAATAAGGTATTTTCCCAAGAGGAAATTTAAAGGATATTTTATTTTACATGGACAGTTACAGTCCTTTTGAATATTTTCAATACTGTACCAGATTATAAGAATATTTTTTTTCAATTAACCGGTTATTGTGAGATAAACACCAAGAGTCAAGTTAAATCACCTTTCTTAAATCTTTGCTGTTCTCCTGGACTGCAATTTTGCAAGTGCCAGGGTTGGTGTCATCGTCATCCTTGTCAGGTTGGTTTATCTACACAAAGTTGATTAGTAAAACCAAGACAACAACCAGGTACAAAACCAAAATGACAGAGTTATATATACAATATATATAATGTTTAATTGCAACTTCTATCATATTACTTTTTACATAGTAATCTCTATATCTACTACAATGAAATAAAGTAGTACCTCAAAGGGTGGTGTTTTGCACGGCTTTTGGTTGACTTTATTCATCTTGGACATAGGGCTGAACGATTATGGAAAATAATCTAATTGCGATTTTTTTTTGCCCCAATATTGCGATTGCGATGCGATATGCGATTATTTTTTAAGGTCTTTGTCTTCTGTATTATTAAACAAAGACAAGCAATACATCATATAGTATGGCCAATACTATATTACATTAATTTTAAACTGTTCTTTCCTGGAAGACAGACCTCTGTTATGATGACATGAGGTGATGCATGAATTGATGACTGACATTTTTATTTAACTTCTTCAATCACAACAGTATATTTGAACATACACAATAGTTTATTTTTAGCTTACAAACATCTGAGCATAAAGTGCTGACAAGGAACCCTGGTGTAAACATTAAAATGAAAGTCAGTGCAATGTGCAGATTGCAGAAATATACTTAAAAAAAAATCAGTGGCTTTACCACACTCAGTTTTTCGACATCTGTGAACTACTAGACAGTCATTCAATTAAAAAATAATATTAAATAAATAAAACTAATAAATAAAAAATACACACATCTTACTGATCTCTGCAGTCAGTAACATTACACATAAAGTGCAAACATAATAGCAATTGTATAAACACACACACACAAACACGCCTTTAAAGTTTAAAGGCGTGAAATTGGACGGTCTAGTTCTGATTAGCGTCACCGCTGTCTCGGTGGAGTTTAATAAACTCGGCCGTCTGCTTCTTGCTATCTAAAATATAACCAGACACTGGCGTAAATTCTCGACTGTCTCATACTTCTGTTTAATAAGTTTTCTGTTTGACGTTTAGTCAGCTGTGTGAAAACCAAGGAGGAACCCACCCGGGGATTAATAAAGTTTTATTTTATCTAATCTAATAACTTTAATCTCAGCCAAACCGATTTACTCACGAACAAACAAAACACTGAAAAAAGCCCAACAATAACATTTTTAGGTTGTCTAAGTGACTTATATATTACGTTTAACCCGAGCAGCGAAACTCCGCGGTGATCTGAAAATGATGTGCCGGGAGTTGTGCCGTTCTCGGCCGCATCAGTAACCCTCGAGCTCCCGGCTAGCTGTCGAGCTGGTGGGTAGCAGACGCCTCTGAAAACGTCGAAGCACTTTTGCAAATATGGGATATCTTGATAAACCGAGCAGATATTTGATGTTTACACAACTACTTTCTCGCCTGAAAATATGTTAAAAGTTTATTTTGTGACCCAGAAAGATTAGTATGAGTAATTTTAAAACTTAGTAGCGGCCGCCATTGCTGGAAACTGGAGTTTGGCTGGGCCGCGCTATGAATTCTGGGATATGGTAGTAATTTCGACAGCCTTATAATCGCAGTATAATCGCAGCCTTTGCGGTTAGAAAATTGCACTTGATCATGTCGCGATATTATCGCAAATGCGATATATCGTTCAGCCCTACTTGGACACCAGGCACACCAGGGACAACAGCACAAAAATGACATATTAGACAGCCAAAGTTGTCTTATGGAGATGCATAAAAGAAGAACAAACAGTGCATGGAAAGTGATACTGTGTTATCATCTTTGAGTGGGAGATTGGAATTAATTTCTTAGGGTTTTTCTTGCGATTAACAAATGATTTACTTTGAATGACGTTCGTGTCTTTCATCCCAAATGAAAATTTTAAATGAAAGAATGTATTTTCCCACGAGGAAATCTAACTGATATTTTATCCTTGTCCTTTTGAATATTTTTGATATTTGATAGAGCTGATGCTCTCATGGAGTCCTTTAGTGCTGCAGGCAGATTCTGCTATTCCTATACTTATTTTCCACCCTGATTTACGAATAAATTCTTTACAAATCCTACCATGTGAATTCATGGATTTTTTTTTTCACATTCTGTCTCTCACAGTTGAAGTGTACCTCTGGTGCAAATTACTGACCTCTGTCATCATTTTAAGTGGGGGAACTTGCGCAATCGGTGGCTGACTAAATACTTTTTTGCCCCACTGTATATTAGGTTTGTCATTCCATGACCAATTCTGGACATCTGTATGACGCCCAAACTTGGTCTACAATTTGGGCATTCAACCACGCCCCAACCTGGATGTCAATAAGACGTTCAACATTTCAACTTTGGAATGGGTAATTTTTTTGGATGTCATGTAGACATCTATGACAGGTGCAGGCCAATTTATGATTAATAAATGTAATTTTTTTTAATTGGACAATATTGTAACGTTCACAAATGCTCTCAAGCACCAGACGTTTTGATTTCACCACGGTTAATTGAAAAGGCAATGGCAACTTGTTTAAATAAAAATAAGGTATTTTCCCAAGAGGAAATTTAAAGGATATTTTATTTTACATGGACAGTGTTGTGGTTTGCAGTGTTTTGTGTTGTTTCAGTTTAAATTTGTTTAAAAGGAAAAAGCTGAAAATTTAAATAGTTAAAAGTTGAAATGTAAATAGTTGTTTTTTGTATTATAAGATTTATTTATTACATTTTATGTGGAGTAAATAAATAAAAGTATATTTACAGTGGCCCCTAGAGACAAAGCACATAAAAACTCCAAAGCACATTCAAACTCCGAAGCATGCAAAAACACCAAAATGCATAAAAACTCCAAAACACGTAAAAACTCAGAAGCACATACAAACTCAGAAGCACGTATAAACTCCAAAACACGTACAAAACACTAGTGATGTGTGGCTCGATCCTGAAATATCGATTCCTCCAATACCAGTCATTTATGTTCTAGAATAGATTCTCACATTAAAATATCGATATTTTTAGTAATTTAGGGTAAATTTGTAGTTTGTCATTAATAGGAACACAGTGGAAAGAAACTATAACATTCGGATTGTCTTCATTCAAAGGAACTACTTCCTCTTCCGCCTTTCATAGTCATGCGCGAAATACGGCTGTATAAATGTCTTGTAATCTGGGTCCAAAACACCGCCGGCTTCATATCCCAAAGTCAAACGAACACTGCAGCATCACTGAGAGTTAAAAACGGTTTAAATCAGGGGTCAACAAGTACCATCTAAAATTTCCAGGGATGTCAATGTGACATATGATTGCATTAGCAATAAATTTAATAACGCTCTATATTAACAGTTACACACTATATAGAACAACTTTATAGAACTATAGTTGTTCGCAGATGTTGGCAGCTATAAGCGAATAGTTATCAGCTATTTTGAAACAAAAAAGACACTTTTTATCCATAAAAAGAACACTATAACAGCAAATGAACTGTACAACAGAAAATGCAAATGCTGATGATTCAGGATTTCAGGATGTTAGTAGGGCACTTTGAGCTCTTGTTGCCAAAATTGGGACCACATTTAATGAGCTAAATGACCTGAAGCAGCATCTAGCTGTGTCTCCAAGGTAAATAGTTATTTTACTATTTACATATCATTGTATATTCAGTACCACTGCATGTTTTGAGCTACGAACAAACTTGTTGCCAAATCCAGTGGTCTGATTGGTCAGATCTGAAAATAACCAAATTCATCCACCTAAGCGCATTTGGTGTCCAAAAAATATCCATTCACATAAATATTTTGGATTCCTTTTCTTGGAAAATGAAGCAAGTACAAAATGGGGTACTTGGACAGAAAACTCAAATACAAAAACATATTTCAATATATCGAGTTTTTTGTGGAAAATTAACCGTCACTAATCCGACTGAAGTGTAGTTAAAAGGCTTTAGCAAACTCATCTTGAACAAAAAACTATATACAATATAGAAATATGAAAACAAATAAAATATAAAATTTAAAAATAATTCTTATATGAGTCCCCCCAACCCAGCACCTGCTTCATAATATCATGACTTATGTTACTGTTTAAGTGTGTGTTAATTACCTTGGCCATGGTGATGAACTTCAGTCTGCACAAAAAGGATGTCTCTGTTGCTGATGTCAAGTTCTGACTGCTATGTACATCAAGCTCTCCTCCTTATATTAACATGTATTTGGTGTTTATGCTCCTCCCCTCTGTCTTCTGTCTTTCTATTTGTGTATGTGTATCTATGGGTGTGGTGCTCACATCACTGACTACTTACCTCTGCATAGGACAGACCCAGTGTTGCCAACTTAGTGACTTTGTTGCTATATTTAGCGAGTTTTCAGACTCCCTTGGAGACTTTTTTTTTTCTAAAAAGCGACTAGCAACAAATCTGGCGACTTTTTCTGGTGTTATTGGAGACTTATTTATGACGACTTTTTGATGTGAAAGCGGGTATCGCTTTTACTCTCAAAAAGCAGCGGGTGCCGCCCGTTCCAAAGCGCTCACGGGCGGAGGATAGTCCTCCCCCAGCTGCTATCAGGGCAGAAGATGTTCACCCCTCCCTGAGCCTGGTTCTGCCGGAGGTTTCTTCCAGTTAAAAGGGAGTTTTTCCTTCCCACTGTCGCCAAAGTGCTTGCTCATAGAGAGTCATATGATTGTTGGGGTTTTCTCTGTATCTATGAAGCGCCTTAAGGTGACTTTTGTTGTGATTTGGCGCTATATAAATAAAATTGAATTGAATTCAAAGAAGCAAAATATACAACCTATAACCATAACCTACCTAACAACACATGAACAGGAGAAAACAGGGTGTTAAAGCAAAAGGCAGCTCTCCCCTACAAGCAGTCTGAACATGCTCATACAAGTTACAAAGGCATGCAAGCCTGCACAGGTATGGCAACCAAAATGGCCAGAGGGCACAGAAGCACAGCTCCACAGGCCTTAAGTAGTGCTCTGCTGATTACCAATTAGCCAGACTCTGCGCAGCATCCAATCAGGACAGAGGAGGTGGAGCCTAGACAAAACAAAGGGTTAGAAGGGAGAAGAGACATCCTCCTGGGGGATGTAACACTGCTTAAGCATATGCATTGTTTGTCCTTTATTTTGACCTGTGTTAAACAACAGGGTAAAAATACCTTGTGTCTAAGAAGCATGTTTTGTAGTACACTGTAAAAAAAAAATTGTAGAATTTACGGTGAATTACTGGCAGCTGTGGTATGGGGCGCCGTTTGTAAACTGAAACATGCCGAAATTAACAGCAACATTTTTCCACATTTAGCTCTAAATCTTACAAAAACATGTTTTTTCCAGTCATTTTTTACAACATTTAGTAAAATATTTGTAACGTTTCATATTTAAAACCGGATTTTAAATGTTAAATCTGAATGCTAAATGTTAAATCTAAATGTTAAATGTTAAATCTAAATGCTAAATGTTAAATATTATATATAAATCTAAATGTTAAATGTTAAATGTAAATGTTATATATAAATCTAAATGTTAAATGTTAAATGTAAATATTATATATAAATCTAAATGTTAAATGTTAAATGTAAATATTATATATAAATCTAAATGTTAAATGTTAAATCTAAATGTTATATATAAATCTAAATGTTAAATGTTAAATCTAAATGTTACGGGAAACTAAATATTTAGCTAATATGCAAATTTATTGTACGGGTCAACGGAAATACCAAAATAAAAGCTTCAAGAAAACCTCCCGCGCTAAAGTGTGCCGGTCGTGGTCAGGTTCTGTGTTTGCGCTCCTCTCACGGTCACTTTTGACTGCCATGAGCTGCTTCAACTATTCCCTACCAGCATGTCCAGCGATTTAGCTGAAAACATTGGAAGAGCCGTTTTGTCGGCCATCCAACGATTCAGCGGTAGTGCACCCTCGACCTCACAAACGCCGCAGCACTTGGTAAGTTTATTGTATAGCATTTTGGACGGGTTGATAGCAGTGTTAGCAAAACTAGCAAAGCTAAATTACTTAGCTAGTCCTCAATTATTTCATTTGGTAGGCAGCAGACAGAGATCGAACATCATACAACTCTATTTATTTATTTGGTAGGTAGGTAACAGTCGTTCTTGATGTAAATGTTTCCTTAGGAATCCAGCAATGCACCTGGACCAAGTAGACCTGCTGTCTCCACTGGGATACCATACCGCTCGGTAGGCCTTCTTACACATATCATTTAGCTGACTGATTTCTGTTTTTGTCACCTTAAATTAAATCCTGTCAAAGTAATGATTCTGATTCTACATACATTTCATCTTCTTAGGGGTCCATCACTAGCAGTGTCACATCACCACCAACAACATTCACAAGTTTTACGTCATATTTTATTACTGTTTTTGCTGTGAAGTGTCTTTTGATTGCTCACTTTCATATTTTAAAACTATTGATAAAATATTACTCTAGCTAATCTGTCACAGTACAATTGCCTCAAATTACCCATCTTTTGTTATAGAATTGTGCTCATTGAGATTTTCTGTGCCGTGTTCTAGGATGGTTACCAAGGAAGGCTTCAGATTTCCAAAGAGGAATTGGAAAATGTTCTTTCCCTGAAAACATCTTTTACTGAAGCTGCATCTATCCTTTCCATCTCCAGGCCCACTCTGTATAAGTTACTGCAAGACTATAATATCTCAGAGTCAAAATTCAATGTAATCAGTGACCATGAGTTAGATCAGATAGTGTCCCAGATAAAAACTGAACATCCAAATGTTGGAGAAGTGATGCTGATGGGTCATCTGCGTTCCAAAAACATAGTGGTTCAAAGATGGCGCGTAAGAAAGTCACTGCGGAGGGTGGACTCGGCTGGTGTTCTATCCAGGAGAAGAACTGCAGTTGCTCGGCGAGTATATTCTGTGCCTCATCCAAATTTCATATGGCACATAGATGGAAATCACAAACTGATTCGTTGGAAGTTTGTTGTTCATGGTGCAATAGATGGATACAGCAGGATGTTGATGTTTCTTCAGTGCTCCAGCAATAATCGAGCTGAGACTGTGAAAGCCCTCTTTACTGCAGCTGTTGGACAATTTGGCAGACCCCTGCATATCAGGACTGATCATGGAGGAGAGAACGCTCAGATTTGGGAGGACATGCGAGCAAGCAGGGGTGAAAGCTCTGTCTTAATGGGAAGTTCTGTGCACAACCAGAGGATTGAGCGTTTCAACCGAGACTTAAACAACAACTGTAGCCGCATTTATGCACCTATATTTTATGAATTGGAATCACTTGGTATCCTAGGCTTGGAAAATGCAACAGACCTATTTTGCCTTCATTATGTGTTTCTACCACGAATCAACCGCACTTTGAAGGAATTCAAAGCTGGATGTAACAATCACTCTATTTCCACTGAAGGTAATAGAACTCCCATCCAGCTTTTTTCCTGCGGAACTCATGTGTCTCATCGTCACAACCCAGAACTTTCTACAGCAGAGGTCATACCCTCCTTGTCAAACTCTGAAAATAGGTTTGTCCCATTAAATGACAGCGATTTACAAGAGCTATATACAAGCATTATATACAAGCATTCACCCTTTTGAAGAAGACAACAATAATGGTAAAACATTGTTTCAACGAACACAGCAGTATATTTTTAACAAACTTGTAAATGTGTGATCTCAACCACAGGATACCAGTGATGTTCTAAAGAGTGATGACACTTAGTATTCTTAAATGCTGTACAGCAAATGCGTTTTTTGTACTACTGCAGAAGCCCCTCCCCTCTAGCAGTGATGCCTCCTGCCACATAAGGACTCAAAGTTAATGACTGACAGTGACTCATAGGCTATTCAGAAGGCTACAACCACTTTTAGTTTATGGGTAAAACTAAAAGTGGTTTCCTGGCCTCCACAGTCACCTGATCTAAACACAATAGAGATGGTTTGGGATGAGATCGACCGAGTAAGGGCCAAAGGTCAAACAAGTGCTCGGCATCTCTGGGAACTCTTTCAAGGTTGCTGGAAAACCTTTTCATCTGACTACCTCATGAAGCTCATCGAGAGAATGCCAAGAGTGTGCAAAGCTGTATTCAAAGCAAAGCCTGGTTATTTGAAAAATCTAAAATATGTTTTGAGTTGTTTCACACTTTTTTGTTTACCACATAAACAAACACATTTTCCATGTGTTTCAGACTTAAAAGGAGTTTCTAAATTCATGCAGTGTTGGTGAGGGCTGTCGCTCAGGTAGTAGCGCCTACAAATTGAAAAGTCAGTGGATCAATCCCAGATTTTCCAGTCTGTATGCTAAATAAACTTTGGATTTGATATTGAACAGGACATTAGGTCTTTTATGAAGGCAAGAAAGAAAGAGAAGTCTGGGAGAAAGTTTAGATGCAGCAGTCGACCAAGATAGTGTGCATTTCTGAGTCCCTGTTTGGACATCCATCCATCCATTTTCTTCTGCTTGTCCTGGGCCAGGTCGCAGGGGCAGCAGCCTAACCAGAGAAAACCCAGACCTCCCGCTCCTGGGCCACCTCCTCCAGCCTTTCCAGGGGAACACCAAGGCGTTCCCAGGCCAGCCAAAAGATAGATTCTCTTGAGTGTGTCCTGGGTCTTCCCTGGGGCCTCTTCTCGCTGGGACATGCCCAGAACACCCCACCCAGGAGGTATCATAGTGAGATGCCGAACCACCTCAATTGGCTCCTTTTGATGTGGAGGAGCAGCGGTTCTACTCTGAGGCCCTCCCAGATGGCCAAACACCTGACCCTATTTCTAAAGGAGACAGGCCAGGTGTTTGCCAGCCACCCTTCAGGCAAAGCCGCTTATATCTGCGATCTTGTTCTTTCGGTCACTACCCAGTGCTCATAACCATAGGTAATGGTAAATTCAGAGCTTCAGTTTTACACTCAGCTCTCCTTTTACCACAACAGACTGGAACAGCTTCCATATCACTGCAGCAAATGTATGAACAAACAAAATGTACTAGAAATACTGGAGACAGCACATTAACCCAATACTATGAAAAAATGGAAAACAACATGGAGTGGGTAATAGATAGTGATTTGTAAATAACTGGACAGGAATAACTTGAGCGTATTATATTATATCATACTACAGTCCTAACTAACTCGGCAGCTCATTGTCTTTCTCTTGTCAACACTTTTAAAAATAGAACTCATTTTAGGGTCGTGCCTGCCAGCAGGATCTGATATCC